GTAACTGGATAGGTTCTCCAACCAATTCTACTTAGCTTGGGTAACCATGATATGCTGCTAGGTGTCACTCATGGTTTGTGGAAGCCCTGAAGATTAGCAAGCACTAATCTTAAGGGAGAATTGAAATGTGGTTTCAATTCACAATCGATCGTTAAGAATAACATCGCCCACTGCCTCGCTAATTGGAACCTTATGGATCGCACACCACATAAGGATGTTAGTGAAGAAATTATATGAAATGGATAAGCAATTAAATGGTTTAATTGAAGAATGGTCAAGATTAATTAATTAGTTAATTAATTATACGAAAGGTTCATATTGGGCTTATATGTTGGTTTTGGGTTTCAGGGCCCAAAAGTGTTTTGGTCCACAAGGCCCATTATGTTTAAGTTGTATGACAACTAAAACAAAATGGGCAAATTAGCCCAATAACAAGGAGAGGCCGGCCATTAGGGTGAATGGGCAAGCTTGCTTAATTACAAGTTTGCCACTCACCAAAGAAAATGTTATAAAAGCAACTTTATAGCAATTTTCTCATGAGGGTTTTCTAATAGAAATTGGGTGAAACATTTTTCTCTCATTTTCTACATAGAGGCCGGTCACTTAGAGGATTTTTACTAGCATCTAAAATCTCTCTAAGTCATCCATATCATCTTCACAATATACAACCTTGGTGAAGAGACTTAGAGACATCAAGCTTTTGATGTTTTTGGAGAACAAATCCTTTTTCCTCAAATCATCAAAGGAGCACTAAAGGGAGGAAAACACAAGAAGGATTCAAGGAGCTTGGAGGTGACCTGAAGGCTCTCCACTTGGGTGAATCCCTTGTGTAATCAAGGATGAGCTTCAAGGGTAAAGAATCACTAAATCTTTACTTCTCTTTAATGTTGTTAAAGAGTTTATTTTGGTTCACAATATACTAGGCTTTGAAAGTCATGGGTTTTATGAATTGTTTTTGAATGCATGCCTACTTTAAAGTGTTAATAGCTTGCATGAGTATTCAAATGTTCATACTTGTTCTTAGCTAGGACAAAATTTTTCCTTCAGTACTCAGTTTGCAGAGCGTCATGAATATGTCTTCGGATGAAGATCATAGCATTGGCTTTTCAGCTTCGCCAACAGGTTCAGTTGTTGCTTCTTCAATAGCAGGACGCAAGTTCTTGGTAGTGAGGTGGAGCTTCACATCTTGAACCCACTTGAGGTTGTTCCTTCCAGAGACCTCCAAAGCGGTGAAGTCGAGTTTGTTCAAATTCGACATGTTCCTATCACAAATAGATGGACAAGATGTTGTTAGTGTAATGGAGAAAAATCAATCCATTCACATAAGAGTAGAACATACAGGTTCTAATAGACATGTATTGTTTTAATTTTGCATGAAAGACTTCGGGTTTTCATGGGTGATATGTGTAAGAGAAAACTTCAGGTTTTCAAACAAGGCATGTTTATAAGAAACTTCGGGTTTCAAAGTAATTATGAACTTCAGGTTCATATATTCCTGCAGGCAAACACAAATATATATGCAAACAAATATGCAACAAATATATGCAAAAATATTGTATAATGATAATTGAATTAATTTTATGTGGGTCTTCGGGGCCAAATTAAAATGTGGGTGAAAATATAAAAACCCATATTATTTAAAAATAGTAAATAATAAAATCGCGGGGCCTAAAAATATAGGCCGAGAATCCACGGGTGTAGGCTGCAGGCCCACGGGGTGAGAAGGGAATGGGCTACTGCAGGCAGACCCCCCCAAATTTTTTTTTTCTTTCCGCACGTGGGCCACTTCAGGTTGGCCCAAAAAAAACAAAAAAAATTTCTTTTTTTTTTTTCGGTCTGGGCCGCAGCAGGCGAGCCCAGGAAATAAACAAACAAACAAAAAATTTTGTCTTTGCGGGCTGGGCCGTTGCAAGCGAGCCCAGCAAAAATTTGTTTTTTCCATATGGGGCTGAGAGACAGAGCCCGGATAGGGCTCGGGGAAAGGTCCAAAAAAAATCCCAGCCGTGCTGGGTGTGCTTGGCAGGGGAAGAAAACCAGAAAAATGTGGACGGCGCCACTGCAGGTGGTCGTGTCGAGGTTGTTGGAGTTCAGAGTGAGTCACGGTTGTCGTGGACAACCACGGAGATAAGGAAATCTCAACGTATCAACAACTATAAAACCCTAAAAAAATTGAAATCGAATTAAAAAAATCCGACGAGATTCCAGTGAATCTCAGTTCAATTTGAAATGTGGGATGACTTCTAGTCGTCAGCGACGTGAACCAGAGGTTCAAAGCAATGGCTGCAGGCCATGCCATGGCCAATGGACACCATGAAAGGTGTCGGGGTTGGTTTGCTGGGGACGCGATGGGCGTCGGGCTCTCGGCTCGGGAAAGCATAGGGATGCAGGCTGCAGGCCTTGTAAGAAGATGGGCTAGCCATCGCAGGCTGCGGGCCTGGTTGCGTTGTAGCCTTGCGTGATGCAAAGGCACGGGTTCGAAGAACCCTAATTCCCCAATCGCAAATTTTTTTTTTTAATTCAAATATATTATATGCATGTATAATTCTAATGAATCACATATTTACGTTGATCCATATGCAAATAGTAGTTTCAATGCATGTACATATGTAAGATTCAATTCATGGCAAATATCAAATTCACATAATTGTAGCAATTTTGGTGATGAAGCATACACAATTTATGTAGAATCTAAAATACGTTAAACGTAAAATTGGGTCATGCATCATGGTGAATGTTCATGCTATCAGGGCTTGCAAAATATCGAGTTAAAAGCCGTTGTTTGGAAAGAACCTGATTGCGTGATGATATGGATGAACTGGTTTGATGCAGAAAAAAAATCTCCAACGTCAGATTCCTAAGTGTAGCGGTAGGAGCGTGCTGATAACGTGTTGTGGTCTATTTTATCTAACAGAGAGACTAGGGCCGACGACAGAGAGAGAGATGAGAGAGATGTGTGTTTGTAGAATTGTAAGGGAATGTGTGTGTTGTTATCCCTCCATTGTGCCTTCATTTATAGTAGTAAAGGGAGAGAAGATATTCCTTCTCCTCCAAGTAATACAAGTTGTAATAGGAAAGGATAACTAGAATCAAATCTAATCTAGGATTTACACAATCATACTTATTCCAGGAATGTTTGCAACAATATCATTGATGATAAATGTTACGATTACCGTATGCTCATGTCATGCAAATCGTTCTTGTTACGAAACTTGTGTGGTTGACAATTGATTAATATCATAAGAAGAAGAGAAAATAAAACAAATACTGAGGCATCAAAATAAGAACTAGTGCATCCATGAAAATAAATTAGGAAGCAGCTTAGGACTCTGGCCTGGATATTGGTCAGCAGCACCACAAACAATTGCTTCTCCTTCCTCAATTATTTACCACATGTCAGACCAATCCAAACCTCCATTCCAATTAATCTAAAATAAAAATCATTGAATTAATTTTTGAAAAATAAAAAGAGAAGAGAAGTGGGTGTTGTGGTTGATGGAAGTCAAAATGAGGTGCCGCCATCATCGATGACTAAAAATAGGCAACGAATCCACTGTTTTGCTGGAGATGAGAGAGAGAGAGAGAGAAAGAGGCGGAGATGAGAGAGAGGGCAGCGAAGAGAGAGATGAGCGGCGGGAGATGGAAGAGGTCAAACAATTTTAGAGTCATTTATTTATTTTTTATTTTTTATTTTTTTATTTTTAAGTTTTACATATATTAAAATAAATGGTTAAATAGGTACCCATTTATAACTGTGGGTAATAATTATAACCGTCCATTTAAATTTCACGAGTAAACGGTTATGCCCGTCACCGTTTATTTGTTTAAACTGTTACTCATAACCATAACCGTGAGTTTTAAATGGACGGGTAACTGCAGTTACCCATACCTGTGGTTATTTTGCCCATCCCTAGTTATCATGTTTCCACCACATGAAAACAAAACTTGATTAATTTAAGAGTCCCTTTGGAGAAAAACAGAGGGCACCATTTGGAGAAGGCATCTGTTGTTGTTTTGGTGCCCTCCTTGGGCTGCTTCATTTATATTTTTCTTTGAGCAATCATTTATATTGGTGCTATGTTCTATAGCTTTTGTCAGAGAAATTTTTAGGGATTTTCATCTTCACACAAACCAAGAACCGATCCAAACCAACTTACCACTGTTGGTCAACCGACCTGATCGGTTTTTAGAACCAGCTTGGTTGATTTCGGTTTGCAATTTTGGCCTAATCGACTAGGTCAGTTTGGTTTCAGTTTTGTCCCAAAACTGACTCGAACCAACACATGCCCACCCTTAGTTTTATCTCCACATTCGATTCAACAATTTTCTCCATCAAACTCTCAAATATGTCCTAAATAAATAAGAAAAAAAAATAAAGATAAGTGTTTTTCTCTCTACACCAAATAACCCTAAACCCACCACATCATGGCACCTCTCCATTATTTCCAACGAACTCAAACCAAAGGTCGGCAAATTTTCTCCCTATGTCGCTGACGACTGTTACTCCTTCCATTCAATCGTTTCTCTTTCTTCTCTTCCCACTTCAAAGCTTGAGAATAATATGAAGCACCATACTCTGTTGGTGTCAACGTAGGAACCAGCACCAAACATGGCCTCTCACTATTTTGTTAGACGAAGTTAACATGAAGATGTTATCACTGCACCTTGAGGAGTTTGATTTAGTTTAAACTCTTATCCTTTCAGCCATTCCTAGTTTATAGGGGTTTTTTTTTTTTTTTTTCAAATATATGTTGTGATCTAAGTTGCACATGTAATCTTTATAGCTTTCTGTTTGTACTTTTAAACTTTGAAAAGTTCCTTGTATCTAGGGTTTTCAAACCCATGCTGTAACATTGAGATTATTATAAATACATGCATCCTAGTATTGATGGGGTATGCAATTGAAGTGAAACCCTCAACATACTTAAGTTTTACATGGTATTGAGCCTTACTGTCTAACGACTAGATCCAATTTTTTTTCCATGCTTCAATGGTTGAAAACAATGCCAATTCTTCCAATCCCACCCCTTCTCACCAATCCTACAAACCCTACCACCAATCCATTTCATCCCTTTTCCACTGTTGTGAACATCAAGCTTGACCAGACCAACTACCCACTATGGATGGTACTTTGGTGTGCCCTCCCAAGAACTTTCCTAGCATGACCACTGTGAATCCTGCGTACACTACATGGGTTCAACATGATTAAACAATCCTTAGTTGGATAAATGGCTCCATGACTGCTTCTGTACTATCTGTCGTGGCAAGCAAGAGGACTGCTTGAGCCACTTGGGAAGCTTTGGAGTAAAGGTATGCCTTCACCTCACAAAACAATTTTTTTCTTTCTAAGAAATGAGTTGCTGCAGACCAAAAAGGGTGATGTCTCTATCATGGATTACCTGGATCACATGAATGCCATCATTGATAACCTTGCCCTAGCGGGGCAACCAGTAAATGATGATGAACTCATGCAGATTGTGTTGAACAATCTTGGACCTATCTCTGAAATTACAGTAAGTGCTGCCCAAGTTTGGGATTCACCTATAACATATCCCACTCTTGAGGCACTTTTGTTGACCACCGAGCGTAGAGTGATGGATTAAAATCCTTCCTTGGCTGACAATCCACCTGTTAATGCCTTAGTTGCTGCTTGAGGCCGAAGTGGATAACGCTTGCGTGGAACTGGGAGAGGTGCATCCCCGTCCAATCGTGGACTTCCTTCCAATCAATGAGGATACAATCCTCACAACAACAATAACTAGCGTAACTAGCCAACTAATGGTGAGAGATTTCCTTGTCCAGGTGAGCGTAATATTTGCCAAATTTATGGCAAACCAGGTCATCTTGCTCTTGATTGCTAGCAAAGGATGAATCCTGCTTATGAAGGTCGGATTCCTGCCAAGAGGCTCACAACAATGTCCTCATCACCTATCACCTTGAACAAGTAGCTGAATGGTACTTGGCTACTCGACACAAGTGCTAATGCTCATATCACTCTTGAAATTCAGAATTTGGTCAATCCCAAAGAGTACAATGGTAATGATACTATGTAGGTAATGACTTTGGCATCTCTATCTCTTACTCTGGTTCAAATCAACTACATACTAAAACTTGCTCATTTGATTTACGTAATGTCCTTCACTATCCCACTGTTTCTCAAAATATAATATCTGCCCATAGGTTCATTTTAGACAACCATTACTACTTGCTAATTTTCCTTTATTTTTTCCTTGATAAGAACCTCAAGACCCGGAAGACACTTTTCCGAGGGAGATGTGAGAATGGGTTATACCCATTTCCAAGTGGCAGTGGACAACTCAAGTATCCAATTTTAGCCTTTGTAGGGATTTGGTGTTCAGTCCAAAAATGGCATGCTCGACTTGGTCATCCTACCAATTCAATAATTACGTTTTTAGTTTCAAATAAATTGGTACCAATTCATGGTACCACTGGTGTAAGCTTTTGTGAGTCATGTCCCTTAAGAAAGAGTACTAGGCTACCTTTCAAAGTGTCTCAGTTTGTTTCTCAATTTCCCTTGCAACTTTTGCACTTGGTCTTCCTGAATTATTTCTATTGAAATGTTTTGTTATTATGTGTTGTTTGTGGATGATTATTCTTGTTACTCCTGGATTTTTCCCATGAAAAACAAAAGTGAAGTCTTTGAATTTTTTGTAAAATTCAAGGCTAGTGTCAAAAATAGATTTAATCTTTCAATTAAAATCCTTCAATGTGATGAAGGTGGAGAGTATAAAAGTCATGCTTTTAAGAAGTTTCTCACTGCAAATGGAATTTCACAACGTTTTTCATGTCCTAAACATCTTGAACAAAATGGAATTGCTGAACGAAAACATCGACATATTGTTGAAACAAGCATAGTTATGCTTTCTCAATCCCATATGCCTAATAAATTTTGGTTTGATGCATGTTCTACTACAACATATTTGATAAATAGGTTGCCAACTAAAATTTTATCCAATGTGTCACCTTATGAGAAATTGTTTCGACAAAAACCAAAGTATGACATGTTAAAATTTTTTGGATGTCAATGCTTTCCATGGTTAGTGCCCTACACACAAAATAAACTTCAATCTAAATCAAAAGCTTGTATTTTCTTAGGCTATTCACTGAATCATCAAGGCTACAAATGCTTGGACTTGTCCACGAAACGAATTTACTTGTCTCGCCATGTCTTATTCGATGAGGACTCTTTCCCTTTTAAAGGACTCACATCTTCTTCATAAAACGTCAATACTACAGGTAACTTTCACTCCCCTAAGTTGTTATTTACATTTGATTTGCCTACTTGTCCTACCTTGCCTCAACCACTTACTTCTCCAATTGCCGTGCAACCTGCCAACCAACAAACTAATACCACCTTTATCGCCACAAACCCCGCACAGTTACAACCTGACCCAAATTCTACCCTTGACTTACCAAGTCCCAATCCTGAAACACAAATGTCGTCCTCCTTCATACAACTTACCCTACCCTCAAATGAGCAAGTCAAAGTATCTATAGAACCTATGCCAGTGTTGCCTGATGCTCCAACACCTCCATAGCATGGTATGGTCATAAGATCCAAGTCTGGAATTCAAAAACCAAACCCTAAATATGCTATGTCTATCACTGTTGACAAGTCTTATGTTGAACCAACATGTTTCACTCAGGTTGTTAAGTCCCAGGAATGGAGGAACATCATGGCTTAGGCGTTTAATGCGTTGCAACGATATGGGACTTGGAGTTTGGTTCATTTCAATCCACAGATGAATTTGCTTTCGAACAAGTGGGTGTTCAAGTTGAAGCACCATGCAGATGGTACAATTGAGAGCTATAAGGCTCGACTTGTGGCGAATGGGTTTCATCAGAAGGCTGGTGTAGATTACACTAAAACCTTCAGCTCAGTTGTTAAACATAGTGTTCCAAATGTGCCCTAAAACCAATCATATGATGATACTTTATGAACATTTCACATGTTAAACTAATCTAGTTTAATATAAAAGTCAAATATTATTGTTTAAAGCTGTCTCATATAAATGTTATATGCTTAAACGATAAGTCCAAGGAATATATAATTGGGAGAATGTGATCTAAAAAAGTTAGATTCATGAGACCATTCTTTTTCGTATACATATCCTAAACGTTCCTGATCATAGGATTGCCAATTAGGCATTGACAATCCGTTAAGATCAGTACGTGTTATGTCTTCTCTCAGGGAGAGTGACTGGTCTCGAGTCATTGGTGTGACTGACACCAAGACAAGTATGTAGGTGCTTAATAGAGAATGAGTCCACTGAACACAATCAACAAGGAGTTCTCATACTCACATGAGAACTCATGGTTGGGATAATGCAAAGTAGTCATTTGACCTGAGGCATCATAGTTATCTTGTAGTTAGGTCCTTGATCTTTGACTATGTCAAATTCACTCCGTCAGAGGGTGTACACGGCATGGTTGGGGTTAAGCCACTTAGCCATGGAGGCAAGTGAATGCGCAACAAAGGATCTCTAACCTTTGAACTGTTTGAGGGAGAATATTCTATGATATGATTAAGAATCTCTGGCCAGAGTACGAATGAGATTTAGGAAGTTGTTCCAAATCACATTCAAGGTAATCATATAAGTAAATGATCACATTGAATAGTAGACATGAATAAACTATCGAACCAAACAATGTGGTCAAGAGTATTGTATTAGAGAAAGATCGTATTGCATTGGAATCCTAAACTGAATAGGTTCTCCACCTCTTCTTATTAGCTTGGGTAGCCATGACATACTGCTAGGTGTCACTCATGGTTTGTGGAAAACCCTAAAGGTGTATAATCACTAAAGGGAGAATTGAAAGTAAGTTTCAATTCACAATCGATTTGAAGAGTTCTAATCGCCCACTGCCTTGCTAAAAGAAACCTAATGGATCGCTCATCGTGTAAGGTAATGATTGAAGGATATAACGAAGATGAGTAAGGACAATTAAATAGTTTAATTGTGTACGGCAAGGATTAAATAAAATTAATTAATCTAGAATGAAAGGGTCATGCCAGGGCACTCAACCATGGAGGCAATCTATCTCTTACGAAGATTGATGGAAAGATATAGAGATGGGAAAAAGGATTTACACATGGTCTTTATAGATTTGGAAAAAGCGTATGATAGGGTCCCAAGAGATATTCTTTGGAGGATTTTAGAGAAGAAAGGAGTACGAGTAGCATATATCCAAGCTATAAAGGATATGTATGAAGGAGCAAAGACTGCCATAAGAACTCATGAAGGACAAACCGAAAGCTTCCCCATAACTGTACGATTACATCAAGGCTCATCCTTAAGTCCTTACCTTTTTGCGTTGGTAATGGATAAGTTAACAGGACATATTCAAGATGATATTCCTTGGTGTATGCTTTTCGCAGACGATATAGTGTTAATAGATGAAACTCAGGAAGGGGTAAATGCGAAGCTTAACCTTTGGAGAGAAGTGTTGGAATCTAAAGGTCTTCGCCTAAGCCGATCAAAGACAGAATATATGGAGTGCAAGTTCAGTGCAAATGGAGGCCAAAACGAGTTAGGGGTGAGGATCGGAGATCAAGAAATACCAAAGAGCGACCGTTTTCGTTACCTAGGATCTATCTTGCAAAAGAACGGAGAATTAGATGGAGATCTCAACCATAGAATACAAGCTGGATGGATGAAGTGGAAGAGTGCATCCGGCGTGTTGTGTGACCGCCGTATGCCACTGAAGCTCAAGGGAAAATTTTATAGGACGGCAATAAGGCCGGCGATGCTGTATGGCACAGAATGTTGGGCGGTGAAAGCATCAACACGTACACAAAATGGGTGTAGCGGAGATGAGGATGCTTCGTTGGATGTGTGGGCACACGAGAAAGGATAAGATTAGGAATGAGGATATCCGGGGTAAAGTAGGAGTAGCCGAAATTGAAGGAAAGATGAGAGAAAATCGGTTACGGTGGTTTGGACATGTGCAAAGAAGGCCTACTGACGCTCCGATTAGAAGATGCGACTATGGGACAGAGGTTCAGGGCCGAAGGGGTAGAGGAAGACCTAGGAAAACTTTGGAAGAGACTCTAAGAAAAGACTTAGAGTACTTGGATCTAACGGAGGACATGACACAGGATCGAGCACAATGGCGTTCTAAGATTCATATAGCCGATCCCACTCAGTGACTTGGATTTTCCAAGTCTCCAACCGAGAAGTTTTCCTCACTCGGGAAATTAAGGGAACACTACCCTCAACCTACATGCTCCACTCACAAAGCTTCAACATACAAGCTTCAACAAAAGAAAAATTCAAAGAACTTAGCGAAGAAGGCTTTGGTGTATTTAACACAATACGTTGAAATGAAGGAAAGCTTATTTATTGATATCCCCGATAAGTTACAAATATGTACATATACATGAGTCAAAATAAACAAACAAGAGGGAGCCTTCACAAAGGTTGCTTAGGAGAAGTCTCAGCAGTCGGTAGAGCCCCAGAAAGAGAAGGCACCGGAGGGGGATCATTCGGAGCCTCAGTACTGGACAGAACCCTAGAAGGAGGAGGCATCAGAGGTTGATCATTTGGAGCTTCATTACGCGGTACAGCCCCAGAAGACGAAGGCAATAAATGCCTTTGGAACAAACCCACAAATCTCTGATGATCAAGTAAAACCTGACCATCAGATTCCTTCATCTGGTCAAGCTTCCTCTTCATGTTTGTAGCATAGTCATGTGCGAGCCGGTGCAACTGTTTATTCTCATGCTTGAGCCCTCTAATCTCCTGTTTGAGACTCATCACTTCAGCCGCCAATGATTCAACTTGGCGGGTTCGAGCAAATAGGCGTTGGGCCATATTAGACACAGAACCTGCACACTGAACACTGAGAGCCAGAGAATCCTTAACAGCCAACTCATCAGACCGTTTGGAAAGTAGTCTGTTATCTTTGGGAGTGAGAAGGTTCCTGGCCACCACCGCAGCGGTCATATCATTCTTCATCACGGAATCCCCAACGGTAAGAGGACCAGTAGGGGAGACGAAGGATGGGCGCCATATGTTGTCTGGAGAAGGCGGGGCTGCCTCTTCAACAAGGTTCAAGTCAAAACGACGGTCGGAGGGGCCAGACATTTTCAAAGGTGTTGAAGAGAGAAGAGGTCGGACAAATCAAGATCTTAGAAGTGCAAGAATGGAGCTTCTACTGGTGGAGATTCAAGTGTGCTTTGGAACTTAATGCCAGCCTCTATAAAAATCTGCACTCGACGGAAGCTTCAGAAATCGAAGAGGCGCCTGCTCAGAAATCGAAGAGGCGTTTGCTTTCTCAAAAGCTGGGCTGCTCAGAGACCACGAGGGCCGATCTCAGAAATCGAAGAGGCGTTTGCTTTCTCAAAAGCTGGGCTGCTCAAAGACCACGAAGGCCGATCTCAGAAATCGAAGAGGCGCTTGCTTTCTCAAAAGCTGGGCTGCTCAGAGACCACGAGGGCCGATCTCAGAAATCGAAGAGGCACCTACTTTTTCAGCCTTGTCAGCACCTGTCACACGCACACTCAGCTTTGCGGAAATTATGGGCATTCTGTCGAAGATTTCTGGTGAAGTAGAAAGCACATGAATCTTACTGTTCAATCACCCACTTCCCACACGCAACAATAGCTCATGGGTACCACAGATAACTTTGCCAAAGTTCTCTGACAAAGTTGAGACACGTGAAGCTTGCAGCTCCCACTACATCGCTCTGACCAAGAAGGGTAAAAGAATAGCAAAGAAACAGCACTAACAAAGTTTAGACACATAAATTTTGAAGGTCTAGCTACCATATTATTACCCACAAGGGTAAAGGAACAGTACCACTGCTGGATAATTGGAAAGTCCCTGTGTGTCAACCTCTGTGCTTCGTGGCAAGGTAGACTAGCAAACATGCCCAACCTTTACTCACATTCGAGAAAACACTCCCAACAAGATTGCTTGCTCCAAAATCGAAGAGGCACCGTCCTCCGAATCTCGAGAGCCAGACTCCCAACATGATTACTTTCTCAAAAAATCGAAGAGACACCGCTCTCCGAATCTCGAGAGCCAGACTCCTAGCAAGATTGCTTTCTCAAAAATCGAAGAGGCACCGTTCTCCGAATCTCGAGAGCCAGATCCCCGACAGGATTGCTTGTTCAAAAACCGAAGAGGCACCGCTTTCTCAACTTCGAGAGCCCCTTAGATAAAGCTTGTCTGTAATCCTCACACCGCTTTCTCAACTTCGAGAGCCAGATCTCCTTGGATAAAGCTTGTCTGTAATCTTCACACGCAACATCAGCTTTCCAGATACCACAGACCACTTTTTCAAAGTGCTCTGACAGAGTTAAAACATGTGAAGCTGGCAGCTCCCACTACCGTGCTATGACCAAGCAGGATAAAGGAATAGCATTACTACTTGTTGTTAGGGAGACTCCTATATATGTCGACCTCCATCCCCAACGGACAGGCAGACCTGCAAAAATGCTCAACCCTTCCTCATATCTGAGAGGGCACTCCCAACGAAGCCTTTCGAAATATTCAGCTTTCTTTCCCCCCGATAATACCTCTGCAAACAAGCTATACTAGAGCAAGAATATCTCATATCATCAGGGTTAAAAGCAAGAGTATCCCATATCATGCTTTTTCCCTGTCTTTTCCTTTGGCCTTGTTCTTACCTGCAAGACAAGGAGAAAGAGAGCAATCAGTCAGCACTTGGAATCAAGCTTCCAGCCAGGAACTGACTGCCTGGATTACTTACCTGGCATTGCTCTCGAGTACTCATCTTCAACATCTTATGCTTCCAGGGAAGATACCGCATCTGCCTGAGGAACAGATAGGGCAAGTGAGAAGGATACAAGGAAGCATGTGGAGACAAGCGTAACAGCACACGTGCCGATACATCCATTACTCTGTCAAAAGCAAAAGTATCCCATATCAGCAGGGTCGAACGTACTCTAGATTTGATGGACTTGTTTTGACCCTCAAATTCTTCAGTCGGCCTTATACTCTGGAGGAAACCAGAAAACCCTCCAGCCCAGTTCAAGAATAAGCCTGTGGAAAGTTACTTCTTCAAAAGCAAAAGTATCTCATATCATCTCTTCTCATTTTTCTTCTCTTTATCCTTCATGCTGCCTGCAAGATAAGGAGAAGGATAACAATCAGCCAGAACTGAAATCAAACTTCTGATCTGGGACTGATTGCTTGGAGCTCTGATTGCTTACCTTGTCTGTCACCTCTTTCAGCAGATCCCCTAGCTCGGCGACTTGGGGGACTCCTACTACATGGTTTGTATCGCGCTTGACCAAGCCTGAAACTACAAGTAAGCTTCAAGTGAAATTGATACATTACCTTGTGCATCTCCACCAGTTAAAGATACCACCCCTGGATGGAGGAAGAGTACTTCCAGAGAAGATGCCACATCTACCTATGAGACAGATAAGGCAAGTCAAGACGATACCACACTCCGATACTTAGAAGTTTCGTGATTACGAGATCATTCTCCCACAATATTTCCTAATGTCATTTGTACTAAATCATTCACTTGTACTCACTAAAGGAGAGCTTGAACCTATGTACTTGTGTAAACCCTTCACAATTAATGAGAACTCCTCTATTCCGTGGACGTAGCCAATCTGGGTGAACCACGTACATCTTGTGTTTGCTTTCCTATCTCTATCCATTTATATACTTATCCACACTAATGACCGGAACAATCTAGCGAAGATCACAAACCACACTAGATGAAAATAAACGCGAAGACCGAGAAGAATCTAAATCTAGCGAAGCAAAATCACCGTTAAAAGATCAGCAAAGACCGTTTTCGCTACCTAGGATCTATCTTGCAAGAGAACGGAGAATTAGATGGAGATCTCAACCATAGAATACAAGCTGGATGGATGAAGTGTAAGAGTGCATCCGGCGTGTTGTGTGACCGTCGTAGGCCACTGAAGCTCAAGGGAAAATTTTATAGGACGGCAATAAGGCCCAGCGATGTTGTATGGCACAGAATGTTGGGCGGTGAAGCATCAACACGTACACAAAATGGGTGTAGCGGAGATGAGGATGCTTCGTGGGATGTGTGGGCACACGAGAAAGGATAAGATTGGGAATGAGGATATCCGAGGTAAAGTAGGAGTAGCCGAAATTGAAGGAAAGATGAGAGAAAATCGGTTCCGGTGGTTTGGACATGTGCAAAGAAGGCCTACTGACGCTCCGGTTCGAAGATGTGACTACGGGACAGAGGTTCAGGGCCGAAGGGGTAGAGGAAGACCTAGGAAAACTTTGGAAGAGACTCTAAGAAAAGATTTAGAGTACTTGGATCTAACGGAGGACATGACACAAAACCGAGCGCAATGGCGTTCTATGATTCATATAGCCGACCCCACTTAGTGGGAAAAGGCTTTGTTGTTGTTGTTCTTATGGGCTGTGGTTGGAATACTCAAATTGAAAGCGAGAAGCTAAGGTTTTTCTAGAAGTTTATTCAACATCACAGCTAAATTCTAGTTTGGTGCAGGAGTGGAACGTTGAATTTAGGCGAATTTTACCATTTAATTTAGGGTTATGTTTCCTATTTTATTTTAGTTATCTTAGTTTCCTAGTTGAAATAAAGGACTTGGTTTTTAGGGTTTGTGGGATGGATAGCACATATATTGCTTTGCCATCGACATTATTTCTCTACGCTTTTCTTTTATGCAACTTTGGAGACAGAGAGTAATTGCTAGGGTTCTTGGAGATTTTCTACTTTAAGGTGTTTTCATTCCTTTTATTCTTAATAATATTTTTTATGATTTCAATTATGAATATGCGTAACTAATTCCTTTTGCTAGGGTGAGGCCACACACCTTAGCAAGAATATGTAGTTTCTTTTCAATTTGCTTATGATTATATGCATGCAGGTTTTCAAGTTATTAATCACTGATTTAAACTATCTAATTATCTTGATGTTTGATCACCATTAGGATATTTAGAAAAGAAATTTGATGCAATTTTGGTCGGAGGTCGGTCCCTGAAATTGACAAAGGCTTCTTGTGATTAATATGTGCAAGTTCACTTAGGATGAATACCACGTCATAATGGTTGCATGGTTTTTCAAAAGGTTTCACATAACTTAATGAGTCTTGCATGTTTAGATTTGATTTGAATACCACAGACGGATTGCATGTTTGATATACGCTCTATGTTGGGGGTCCAAGTAGGCATATCTTAGGAAAACCTAACATTCGAAATATGCATGTATAGATTATAAGTAATTGAGAGAACTATATGGGATTGTTAAGGTGATGGCGGATCCTTAGTGTTTTTTTTTTTTAATTTGATTTCTCCAAAATAGTTTCCTTTTTCTTCATCATTAATATTGCAACTTAGTTTACTTTTATTAATTAAATTCATTTTTAATTTAAGTAGGTTATAAAATTAGTCATCTCAACTTTCTGCTTTACAATAATTAATAGGAAATTGGTTTGCTTCGATTTATTTAATAATTCCTGCGGAGAACGACCTTGGGAGATCCGTTTATACTACAATAACCTTGTCATTCTTGCAAGTATTATAGGAGATTTTTAGCCCGTTGCCTATCAAGAAAATGGCGCCGTTGCCGAGGATTATTTAATATAATTCTTTCTAATCAGATTTTCAGGTAGTTATTGCTGTTTATACATATAAAAAAAATTAATGTTCATTTTTATTTTATTTTTACAGATTACAGCAGTACAACAGTACAACAGTGCAGATTTTAACAATCTGTGCATGGTCAGTACACGATCAGTAGTGCAAAAATTATTTCCATTTGATCCAGAACCTAAGCAGATTTTAAGGAGACGCATGGAGCAAAATTTATAGTGGATTCCTTCACTGTATGGGACTTTTTTGCAATCTTTATTTTCTGGGGATCTACACAGTACGAAAACAATGGCTTTTGTTATTCCAGAGGTTGGTCAACCTTTGGGGGATTCATTAACAGCTCATGCCACAAACATACAAAGTTGCATTACTTATCCAGAAGTGGAGGAATGGCCTATCTTCGAAATAAAGCAGCACATGTTGAATATTCTACCTACATTTCATGGGTTTTCAACCGACGATCCTAACATGCACATTGCAGAATTTTTCATGGGATGTAAGAATATTTTGGTGAGAGGATTTTCAGCCGAATCTATTAAGCTCCGTTTATTTGCTTACACTTTGAAAGATCAAGCAAGGAGATGGCTCCTCACTCTTCCATCTGGAAGCATTAGCACTTGGAACCAAATCAGTGAAAAATTATTCAACAAGTTATTATCCAACCTTAAAGACTCTTGACATGAGAACTCAAATTTTATCTTTTGCCAAAAAACCAAATGAAGAGTTTCATGAGGCGTGGGAACGGTTCAAAGAGTTGATTAGAAAATGTCCACATTCAGGTATTAACAGTACTGATCAAATGCATATATTTTTCAGAAGGTTAAATATGACAACAAAAACTCTTATCAAACAGAGGTTCGTACAAGGATAAAAATGCACAAGAGGCGTGTTTATTATTTGAAAAAATGGCAGCAGATACACAAATGTGGGCAGTTGAGCAGCCACAATCTAGGTCTTTTTTTGAGATGTCTAATAGCTCTCCATATGTTACAACACAAATTGAAAAAAAATGAAGAAAAGGCCTGATGCAAAATTTGACATGTTACAAAGAATTCCAAATTTGCAGGTTGCTATACAACAGCCATTAGAAGCTGCCTGCAGCATTTGCAGCATGACAACCCATGATTTTTTTAGCTGTCCACATATAGATGCTTGTTCAGAGTTTACAGCGGAACAAGTTAATGCATTTAATAATTTTCAGCGTCCAAGAAACGACCCGTATTCAAATTTTTACAACTCGGGTTGGAGAGATCATCCTAGTTTAAAGTGGGATAGGGATTAGCATGCGAAGTCACAATTTCAACAGCAGGTACAGCAACCTGTTGCACCTAAAACAGCTTGGGAAATTGCAATTGAAAAATTATCAACTATTACAAATGCAAGATTTGAACAAACGAATCAAGAAATCCAAAATATGCATGCAACAATGAAAAATATGGAACAACAAATTTGGCAGATTGCGTTGCAGGTTTCAGAAAGATCACCGGGTACATTTCCTAGTCAAACAGCACTTAATCCAAGAGGACAAGAAGAATACAATGCTATACATACTTTACGGTCTGGCAAAAGTTATGACAACAGACATGAAAATTACGTTGGAAATTCATGGGCAGCACCACAGCCGCAAACAGATTCGGGAAATTTTGCAAAATCTGATATTTTTGCAGATTTTGCGCAGCCACAAGACAGATCCAAAAATACAGCATAAGCTACCACAAAAACTACATAACATGTTTATGTGCCTCCAATGCCTATCCAGAAAGGTTGAAGCTTAAAGCTAAAGATCAACAATTGACAGATTTTATGAAGACTTTGGCTAAAGTTCAAATTAATCTACCATCAATTGATGCAATCAAGAACATTCCATCTTATGCCAAGTTTTTGAAGGACGTTTTCACAAAGAAAAAGAAGCTTGTGGATTCCGAAAAAGTGATTCTAATGGAACAGTGCAACGCAGTCTTATTGCATAAATTGCCTTCAAAGAAGAAAGATCCAATGACTTTTACTATCTCTTGCACCATTGGAAATTGTGATTTCAGTAGTGCTTTAATTGATTTAGGTGCCAGTGTAAACTTAATGCCTTATTCAGTTTTTAAATGTTTAGGTGAAGGTGAGCTAAAACTAACCTCCAGCATTATTCAATTCGCTGACCGTTCAATTACCTACCCTAGAGGAGTCATTGAAGATGTTATTGTGAAGGTTGACAATTTATATTTACCAGCTGATTTTATGGTGTTGGACATGGATGAGGATTTAACAACACCCATCATTTTGGGCTGCCCATTTCTGGCAACAGCCCGGACTCATATTGATGTTGAAGCCGGAACTCTAACATTCTGGGTTGAAGATCAAACGGTTGTGTTTAGGTTGTTTGAAGCCACCACACATCTAGGTGATAAACAATAATGCATGTGTGTTGATGCATTAGATGGTTTACCTCAGGTCAAATTTATGAGCAGATCATCAACTGACCATCTGTCTATAAAGCCTCCGAATTTGACTCTTGATTGCATAAGTCCTAAACCATAGCAGCAATGGGTGTTGCATGATGACCAACTGATTAACATTAAGAAAAAACTTGAAAATTTGCCAGGCAGCCCAAATTTTAAGAAAATACAGCCTGGTAGAAAGGTGTGGTTGTTAAGTTCAGATTTCAAGTTTTTTCCAGGGAAATAAAAGTCTCGATGGAAATGCCATTTTCTAGTTAGTAAAGTTTTTCAAAATGGTAACGTGGACATCAAGGCTAAGGGCAAAGATTTCGCATTTAAGGTTACCAAACATCAACTTAAACCATGCATAGGGAAATTTGGTGCATGTCAATTTATAAATTCTGACTTTTACCAAAATTCCAAGTTTATTTCTATCATCCTAACATAGTGTAAGGATCTAGAACGTGGTTGTCCAGATTTTAGGCGAATTTTACCATTTAATTTAGGGTTATGTTTCCTATTTTATTTTTGTTATCTTAGTTTCCTAGTTGAAACAAAGGACTTGGTTTTTAGGGTTTGTGGGATGGATAGCAACATATATTGCTTTGCCGTCCATAGTATTTCTCTACGTTTTTCTTTTATGCAACTTTGGAGACAGAGAGTAATTGCTCAGGTTCTTGGAGATTTTCTACTTTAAGGTGTTTTCATTCCTTTTATTCTTAATAATATTTTCTATGATTTCAATTATGAATATGCGTAACTAATTCCTTTTGCTAGGGTGAGGCCACGCACCTTAGCAAGAATATGTAGTTTCTTTTCAATTTGCTTATGATTATATGCATGCAGGTTTTAGAGTTATTAATCACTGATTTAAAGTATCTAATTATCTTAATGCTTGATCACCATTAGGATATTTAGAAAAGTAATTTAATGCAATTTTGGTCGGAGGTCGGTCCTTGAAATTGACGAAAGTTTCTTGTGATTAATATGTGCAAGTTTACTTAGGATGAATACCACGTCATAAGGGTTGCATGATTTTTCAAAAGGTTTCACAGAACTTAATAAGTCATGCATGCTTAGATTTGATCTGAATACCACATATGGATTGCATGTTTGATATACGCTCTATGTTAGAGGTCCATGTAGGCATATATTAGGAAAACCTAACCTTCGAAGTAGGCATGTATAGATTATAAGTAATTGAGAGAACTATATAGGATTGATAAGGTGACAGCGGATCCCTAGTGTTTTTTTTTTAATTTGATTTCTCCAAAACTGTTTCCTTTTTCTTCATCTTCAATATTGTAGCTTAGGTTCCCTTGCTAGATCTGTTTATACTACAATAACCTTGTCATTCTTGCAAGTATTATAGGAGATTTTTAGCTCATTTGTGTGTGTAGTAATTTCCCTATCACTCTCCTTTTTCTCTCTAAGAGGTTGACCACCATGGGGGAATTTACTAGCATCTAATTCTTCCATGGTCACTCATCTTCTTCCTTAACCATCCTTGGTGTCAAAACTTAGAGGTGTCGAAACTTAGAGGTCTCCAACTTTGGGGACTTTTGGAGAACCCAATTCTTCCATCCATATCTAAGAAGACATGGAGCCAAGAAGAAAAGTTCCTCCATCCAAATCCATGGAGCCAGGGAGCAAGGTGACAAAGGAAAGAAGGCCCTCACATGGGTGATTAACCTTTGCTAAGCAAAGAGGTGCTTCAAAGGTATAAAGTTTCTCAACTCACTTTGTTTTGAGTTGAGTCTTGGTTCACCATAACTACTAGGCCTTGAATTTCATGGGTAAAGTTTTATTTTTGAGTGGATACAAGCATGATTTCGCCTTTGAATTGTTAATAGCATGCATAGATGTTGCTCAAATGAACTAGTTTTCACAAATATTTCCTTCAAGTGGTATCAGAGCCTAGGTCTAGTAGTTGGTAAATCCTTTTAGGTTTTGTATTTTCATAGTTTATGATTTGAATGTTGTAATTGTTACAAGCTTTATTTTTGCTGCTTTGAATGTAATTTTTGTTAGAAAATTTTCCATCTCAAATGTTGTAGATGTAGTTCATAAGAGCATGAATTTTGGAGCTAAAATTTGGTGCCATGTTTTTGGGGAAATTCGGCCAAATCCAAATGGTGGATTTTTAGGTTCATGTTTGTTTTGTTAAAAGTGTTTCAAAGTGACTTTTGGAACCCCTAAGTACCCTAGTATAGTAATATGTTATTTCCCTTTACTTTGAGAGTTTTTGGGGTGTCTTTGGGTGAAAAATATTCATGGAGCTCTTATGGGTTTTCATGAATGTTCTTCATTGTTCTTGATGTTCTTACCAAGAACAAAAAGGTTTGGTGTTTTGATTCAATGTGTTTGTTGTTTTTCATAAAGTTTTGGTTTGTTATTGATTGGTGATGGATGATTTTTGTTTTATTATTTGATAAATGCTACACCTTACCTATATCTTACAACCATACCAATCAAACTTTTCAATCATACCAATCAACTTTTCAACCCATAACTTTCACTTATTCAACACTCTTTAAGATTTTTTGAATTTTCAACAAAAACCAAACCCCACTCTCACCTACCAAAACCGGCCACCCTTATAATGGGAGTACTTTTGGAGCTTTTATGCAATTACATAAAGCTTTGATACTTTTGTGTATTTGTACTTTGACCTGAAAGTTTACGTTTTTACGTAAAGGTCCAAAATCACTAAAGGACAAATTGTTTTACTCCTTTAATGAAGTTTTTGTGTTTGTTGAAATTTTTGGGTTCTAGTTGTAATTACATGAAGTAGTGGATTTTTGTGTTTTTACAAAGTGACCTCAAAAGTTTGTATTTTGCAATATAGCCCAAAAAGTTGAGGTTGTTACATTTTGGCCCAAATTAGTTGAGAACAAAATAGTTTTGTATCTTTAAATGAGAATTGGATTTTCATTTCATTTAGGTCCATCTAAATCAATTCTATGGATACAAAAGCCAAATGACAATGTTGCATTCAAGTTTAATTAGTTAAAGCGTTAATTAATTAAAGAAAGGGTGATTATAAACCTAAGCCTACGATAATTGAGCTATGTGAAATGCCGTCTCTCAAATTTGTTTAAACCATGGGAATGTGTAGATTAGATTTTGGTTGTAATTTGACGTGATCAAATGTTGTAAAAGAGCATAAGCTCTTCTTTACTTTGAAGTACTCAGTTTCTTGTTTTATTTGATATGCATGAAATTGGAGTAGTAGGGTCCAACACCCAATAAGAAAACACACCTTAATATGATTAAATGTGTAACTAAAATCAGTCACCATCCCTAGATCAAGATCCAACACTAGGCTCGTGTTGGATCGAATCAAAGGTTCATAGTCATCCTAAGGCCCTATGGCAACTATATAGTCCATCAATGAATGCAAAGCTTATGTTAGTAGTACTATATATTCCTACTTTAAAAAATTGTTTTACAAGCATAGTGGGAGTATCGCCCCTAAAAACTACCAAGCCTATGTGGCACGTAGGTCGAGTAATTAATAAGCTAACTACATCATTCGGTTGTGTGTGGGGCGTGTGATTGGAGCATATTTATGCAACTAAGTGAGCTTGTTTCTTGGCATTTACTTAGTTTAATTCTAGTTATTTTAGTACTTTAAGCTATTTTCGTGTGTTTGTAGTTTCAAATAACAAAGTTGGCAACAAAGTGCTATTTGGAGCACTTTGGAGCATTTTTGGGCCAAGATTGGATAGTGCAAGTATGGAGACATGAGGATGGACATTTTTTAAGATTAGAAGGCTAGAAATCAGCATGTGTGTGTGCAAGTGTGTTGACCTACAACTACAAACACTTATCCACTACACCCATTACATCCACTCATTAACAAAACTACACCCATTACATCCACTCATTACCACAAACACTCATCCATTACACCCATTACATCCACTCATTACCATAAACACTCATCCACTACACCCATTACATCCACTCATTACCAAACATCCATCCATTACACCCATTACATCCACTCATTACCAAACATTCATCCACCACACCCATTACATCCACTCATTACCACAACACTCATCACTACCACCTTAATTAGATGGTGGTCATCTCCCTATCCTATAAATACATCCACCATTCACCATAACAAGGGGGAAGAAAACCAGAGAGAACACAATCCACCCATCCACCTTTCACCATAACTCACCTATATCCATCCACCACCATAATTTACCACTCATCCATCAAACCACACCTTGTGCCACAACAAAGAGAAGAATGAGGACCCTTGGTCGTGCTTGCCATTCAAGTTGGATTGTTGGAGCGTTTTTAGGTGTTTTCTTTCTTTTGTTGTCAATGTCTAAATTTGTTTATCTTTGCTTTGTAAGTATGAGGAACTAAACCCCCCTTAGCTAGGGGGGAATTCGAAACCATGTTCATGCTTGCAATATGATTTGATTACGTTCAGTTATGATTTCATAAATTGTGAATTCAATTTGTTTAACTGCTTGATTGATAACTTATTCGTGTATGTTTATTAAGAGTGCACACTTAGTTTGCATGCATGAATATGATGCTAGAGTATAAGGGAGTTTCACCTAATAGTTACAAACTTATATTCACAAGTAGTGGAGGTCGCTTATAAACGATCGCGTTAAATAAATTCTTGGCAGGAGTTTCATGCTCATCATAGTAACGAATGCCTTGTCAATACTTATAGTTTTCATAATGCTTAATGATCTTTGATTGTATCTTTATTGTGCTATTCACGTAAAGAACTTTTGAAGAATGCTTGAATTGTTGTATGCGCTTTCCCATCCAATTCAATAACTTAAGGAGAACTTGAAGGTTAATTTAAGCGGACTTAATTAACCTGGGGTGTTGAGTTTCATGATTGATCGAAAGAACAAATGAAAATTGGTTTATGTGCAAGTATGTCATGTGTGGAGAAGAACCTCCTAGCTAGCCTTCCATCCATTCAATTTACTC